ACTACGAGCGAGCGAGAGAGAGAGAGAGAGAGAGAGAGAGAGAGAGAGAGAGAGAGAGAGAGAGAGAGAGAGAGAGCTTGGTGACATTTGGATCCAGACTCTACATTGGACTTCAGACATATCGAAGAGGGATTATTTGGGACTTGAAACGAGACTTGGTGTTGACGACTTTCCCATCTCCCCCTTCCTCGTCTTCGTCTGATCCCCTCCTCTTCGTCCGTGTATGTGCGGACCTGGCGCCTCTTTTCTGTGTATAGCGCCAGGCTCCTTCACACCTTGTGATGGACATGATGCATGTTTGGTCTGCGTTTAAACATTGATTGGGCTAGTCATTCGCATTCTAGCATTCTGCTTCGCTATCTTGTACTACGTGAATGAGGTCAGTCCCGGTCAGGTCGGGATTTGTATCTTAGTCTTCCCTGCGCTATCAAGCACCATTCTGTATGTATCGAAATGCACATTGCTTGTTGAGATTCCACTTGCATTGCAGTGTCCATTCAGTCCTTTTTATCACATTGCGGATCCTCGGTTTTACATGTACATTGCCCAACTGGGCATGTAACAGTTGGTATCGGAACTTCGCACGTGAATCAGGACAACCTGATCTGACACGTGTGCGGGGACTGAGTAGCTGATTAGTCTTGATTGATTGATCTTCAAGCTGCTCAACAATATGCCTTCACCTATGGCATCATTGATGATGTTCCTTCATGGGGACATCTACCTCCTCCACCAAAACACTATGGGCTGGAGTGGAAGGAGACTACAGCTGCAAATGGCTGCTGTACCTTTTAGGTATGCAGCTACGGGTCCGTTCCGATGGCTCGCTTCGCATGAGCGTCTTTGATAAAGCGGCTGCTTGGGATTTCCCTGTCATTCGTTATCCAAGTGCGACCTCCAACATTCCTTCCCATCAACCGGCTGGTGTGTTCACAGGGCAATTGACCAGATTTGAACAAATCTGTAACAATTGGCAGGACTTTCGAACTGCGGCAACAACACTTACTCGTCGTATGCTTTCTCGTGGACATTCCCCACCAACCCTTGCTAAGGGGTGGACCTGCTACATGCACTCTCGCCATGTCGCTATCCTACACATGTGACGCGTCTCTCTCAGTGGTTCTGACGCATGTTGCGATGGTCCTTGTATCATCAATTTCTTCTTCTCCCCCATGATGCTCTCGTCCTGCCCATGCTTACTCATCTGCTGCTACCGCAGTTTCCGCTGCTGCAGTCTCCACTCCTGCAGTTTCCACTGTTGGAGTCTCCACTCCTGCAGTTTTCACTGCTGCAGTGTTCGCTGTTGCGGTTTCCACTGCTGCAGTGTCCACTACTGCAGTTTCCACTGCTCTAGTTTCCACTGCTGCAGTGTCCACTGTTGCGGCTTCCACTGCTGCAGTGTCCACTGCTGCAGTCTCCATTGCTCCAGTTTCCACTGCTTCAGTTTCCGCTGCTGCAGTTTCTACTGTTGCGGTTTCCACTGATGCAGTTTTGAGTACAGCAGTTTCCCTAACTGTAATTCCCCCTACTTTAGTTTTTACTGCTAGAGCATCCTGTCCTGCAGCTCCAATGCAAAGAACATCACAATCTCTCCGACGCTCACGTCCTTTGCTCCGAAATCTTGCCCAATGCACCCCCCTCTCATCTATGTCTGTGCTTGGCCGTAGATGACTGCGTTCCTCCTCACCACCCCCATCTCCTCCACGGTCTCGCTTGCGAACAGACTCTCCAGTTTCCACTGTCCCCATTGTTCCACCTGCGTTGCTAGGTACGAGTTCAGCTTCTGTTTGCAACACCACTACTCTTGTTGTGTATCACCGACGACATCCGCGGCATCGTCACTTGTCCGGGGATCAGCAACCTGTTTCTTTGTCTGCCCCGATTCTCTCTGTGCCTCCTCCACAGGTTGTTGCGGTTCCTTTGTTTCAAACGGCAATATCCGCTCCTATGACTCCTGCAGACAGTCCATCTGCCTGCAGGCAGCCACCAGTCCCTACTCAGGATCCAGCCGCTGCCCAGAGTACACTCCCGACTCCAGGTATAGTCCCTACTTAGGATGCAGCACTAAACGTTGAGGGATTGGAACATGATCTGCCCGGATCGCAGTTGACCCCACAAAGTGTAGGCCACATGGGGGATCTGCAAATGGCTGACCAGCATTGTGCGGATGAAACACAATTTTGTGCTCCGCCACACGCAGACCACATGGGTGATCTGCAAATGACTGACCAGCAAACAACCCAACACAGTTTGGGCTTGCAACACCATCTGGGTGATCTGCAAATTGTTGGCCAGCATCCAACAAACCAGCCTGAGAACGTCACCAATCTCTGTGGTTTGACAGCAACTAATATCTGTCTTCACATTCTCCATCGCCCGTTTTATACACCATCAGACTTCCTTATTGCCCTTCAGCTTGATGCTGATCTTTCCCAACGACAGCCAGAGGATTGCAATTATACCAGCGAAGGAGGCTTTACCATTGCTGTCCTACAAGTAGCAATGAGGGACCGTCAACTTGAACTACACAATGCTCGAGCAGGTGAGTGGTTTAATCCTCCATCCCACATCTCTGCCTGCATTGTGCACGGCCCTGGCCATTACATGGCCATTGTACATGCCTCTGACCACTGGGAGCTGTGGGACAACGGCACCATGGTCCATGCCATGATTGATGTCACTGATTTCTTACAAAATGATGTTGTTTTTTTGCCACAACAAACCGTCCGCAATCTCTTTTATGTCGAAGATCATTCTTCTGGCCCCGTGCTGCAGCAAGACAATGCACCAACGCTCTGCGACCTTCTCCTTTGCACAACCACAAACACTGTTACACTCGGCTGTAGCCGCCATCGTCTCTGTCACAATCACTACAATGACATGGTTTCTGCATCCATGTGTGCAGAGGACTGTCCCACCATTCCTGACTGCAGGCACCCTCTGCATCCGGACACTATATGTCCATTTTGCGGCCATGGGCGCTATACTGAATGCATGCTCTTTTGTGGTGACCGTTCTTCTTTCATTTTGGCCTGCAATCGACATGCCATTTGTCGGGGGTGTATGGCGGGCATGCTCAATGCCACCCGTCGTGGCAATTGTTGCACTGAGAATGCTCAGCTAGGTCTTGCATGTGTTCATCGACGTCATCCTTACAATGTATGTCCTCTCTGTCGTCAAGGACAGACTCATTCTTGAGCCTTTTCTTATCCTCTTTTGCCTTCATCTTCACTCCACACTCCATACTTCCCCTTACTTTCCCTTTATCATTCTTTGTTCGTCTGCTCTCCATCTCTCCTCCCTGTGTTTATCCCCTCCCCCTTCACTCTGCCTCTTTCTCACTCACAGCGTACAAGTGGGCTGTTATGGCACACGGGGATGGGGGCAGCTCACGCTCAACTTCATCAACGTAGCGAGCCTTGTACGTGAGAGGCACGGTGAAAGGGGAGTCAAAAGAAGAACGAGTAAAATGAATGGTTTCACTGTGCCCTTCATGTTTGTCTGTTTTTTTTTTTTTTTTT